CGACATCAAACTTGACAGAAATAAATGTCAGCATACATGATGAAAGTAGAGCCTCAGAAGAAAATAAAACAAGGCTCATCGTGTATAAGCGTTCTTCTAACAATTATCGAAATGTGTATTATTAGGGGTAGCAATAACTTTTTATTGCTACCCTTTAATTTTCATAGGGATAGAAATTGATACCCCTCGCATAGCTGGCGCGCCGCCTATGGCTAAGTAGGCGGGTTCTATCCTTGGTTTTGAAGTTTTCATGAATTTTTTGAACTGCCTGCTGTAAAAATAGAGAAATTTTGTGAAGATAAAAGGATATGTTCATGGTGAATTCAAACCAAACTACGAAAACAAGGATATTTCAGCAACGGTCGGACACCTTCATGAATCGACCATTTTTTCAGCCATTTTTCTTATTTCCATGTTTTCTTCAAACTCATTCATCATGGAATTAGATACGTTTTTGTCGTAGTCTCTAACTAGGACATCATGGAAATTATCGTTTTTTCCTTGTTGGAATCCTCTCTTTTCTCAATAAGTAGCCAAAACCTTCACCAGAACTTCAGAGTTGACCCTCAAAGTACCTTACTTATCAGGCAGTTTTCATTTGAAGCCTCTAAAAAATTCTATAACTGGATAGTACTTACAAATTTGATGATAATACATAGAAAATTCGCAACTAAATATCGTTCGCCGCATAAGAAATTGTCTCATGCTCTCGAAATCCGCAAAAAATTGGCGATTAATCGCGATCGATTGAAACGATAATCGTGCACTGAGTCGCCGTCTTTTTGTGATATTTTCAGCGATTATTGTGATAAATCGCGATTTATTTACCAATTATTTTGAATATCAACCATTGGGTTATCGTTAATTTGACGCAATCCAATAGAGATTTTATTTTATTTTTATCGGCTACATCTAATCTGTTCAGTTTGCTTTTATTTTAACAAAATCAAACCCTTTTTTCATCTGGTATCATAGAAATAACAGTAAAAATAAGAAGAAATCACAAGTTATCCATGCACCACTAGACATTGCACTGGTGAAGAGGAAAATTTTATCAATAGTATATAAAACACATTTATTTGGTTTCGTTCGATCAGCTGGAATTTGAATGAGGTCAACTTCTTCACATGCGCTGAATCTGTAAACCTATAGAGCAAAAGCTAGAAAGAAAGCTAATACAAATCTACTTACACAACTACCACCATTGGTACACTGAAAACAAAAAAGTTACCGTACCGAACTTAAAAAGGTTCCGAATTTTGAAACGAATTCTAAACCTTTTTAAGTATCGTACGAAACTGGTTTAGTATGAAACTTATTCCAATAGACAAACTTAAAGTTAGGTTTCGCAGATTGAGTTCNTGATCCAAGTTATCCTTTTCTTGCGTCAGAAATCTTTATGTCGATCATCAAACTCCAAAAACTCATATTACCAACTATATTCCTTACACAGAAAAGGAATAAACGGGGTCAATAATGCTGTTCTCAATTAGTTTACCACTCTACTTCAAGATAATATAAACAGATCAACTCATCTTGAATTTCATATTTTCCGATGGCCAGACAGGCCGTTATAATGATAGTTCTGCTTTACAGAGCTCGATACGTAAAGTTAAAACGTCAGAATTGCACGAGTATCATCGCAAACTCTTTCTATTATTTCAAATTCACCCAAATTAAGAATGACTCTCCGAGAATTACCGTTCGGAACGGGTTCAAAATGCTATTTCTAGTTGCCTAATCTTAGCTTCAGAGATTAAGACTCTAGGGAATGCACGATGAGACGTTCAAAATGTAACAGGAGGATACCAAACGAACAACCTTACTTCACTGGCTTTACATAAGACACAAATAGAAAATATTTCAATGAATTAGCCAGACTTGCCAACTATTAAAAACACTAGACCATAACCAGACTGTTGACTTGAATAATCCGAACCGAGTCAAAGTTTAAATATGACATCCATACCGATATCAATACTTCGGCTTAATAATCATGCAATAGAAAAAAATAATCATAGTTTTTGTGTTGAAATTATTTGCCAAACTGTTTAGTTGGGCAATCTGAATGAAAGAAACATATGTGGAGGCTAGCTATAAGTAAATATTTCCTATAAATAATCTACAACAATGAAAAAGCGCCTATACTGTTCAATGTAGAATGACTTGAAATACCACTCGGTTGCATAGTGATTTGTGCGAAGAAAAGAATTTTCAAAGTTAAATTTAGTTTGAAGCGAAAGTTTATATATAACACGCTGCAACAAAGAAAAGAAAGTTATTATGTAAAATGCTGAGTTACCTGAAATATTCTTCAGTTCTGCAAGTTGAACGAAGCAAAACATTTTCGGATTTACATTTAGATTGAGAAGAGTATTTCTATTTAATAATTTACAATAGAGGAAAGAAGGATATACAGTAATCCCAAATATAGATTTACCTGAAATATTGCTAAGGTGAACGACTTGGATGAAAGAAGCTTTTTGAAAGTTGAATGAAACCTGAAGCGAGCATTTTGACCTAATAATATAAAACAAAGATATAGTTATAGTGTTAAGTGTAGAATTACCTGACATAATGTTGAATGGAATGACTTGAAAGAAATTTAACCCTTTCAATATACAATATAACTGCAAATATAAATTCTCGTAATCTATGGCAGAAGAAAAAACAAATATAATTGTTGCAAGTAAAATTGTCTTATTTGTTCACCTCAAAGATTTGAAGAGCAATGTGAGTATTGAATGTGATTTGAGATAGATGTTTGAATTGGGTAATCTAAAACAGAAAACCAAAAATTGCCATTCAAAAGATGGAATTACCTGGCAAATAGTTCCGTTGGACAATGTGCAAAAAAACCAATGGCATTGGCTCTAAATATACACTCATATAAACATTGAAATTGAAAAGTCTATAATAGATAGCTGAGATTGATAGTTTTAAGGATAAGCGTACATCATGGAGGATTGTGATGGCAAATTTAAAAGAATAGTACTTCAATTTCTCAGGTGGACGAACCTATTAGAGGTATATTACGAAACGTGCAAGAGTTTCATACAAAACTTGACTCAACTTTGACTTTCACAAAAGTATGGTACGAAACCTCTGGCACTTCAGAACCTTATAAAATGATCGTACCGAACTTTTTCTAGTACTAAACCTACAAAAGTTTTCGTAGGTTTATACCATAACTGTAGGGGTTTAATAAGTTACCACCAAACCTGAAAGGTTTCGTACAGCACCTTTATTGTTTTTTTTAGTGCAGTGTTTGTGGGTGTTTGAATTTCTGTGCCGTCGAACAATGTAATTCGAATCTAGGGAAAAATAAATGAATAATTTATTTCAATCTATGTTCTCACTTGATGATGTCACATAGATTTCACCATTTTCTTTTGAGTGTGTAAAATTAAATTGAGTGTTTGTTTTTGGTGATCATATGATTGTATAAGACTATATCTATTTCTTTACGAAGATGAATAAAAAAAGCAAAAAATTTGAAAAATGAAATACAAGGAAATCTATTAAAGAGACTGCCAAAGATAACAAACAAAGAAATGTGAAAAGCACGTGAAAGGCGCATTCATCAAACATGATCTTGAAGTACACGAAAGATTCTCGATCACTCGCAAATAAGTCAATTACTTACACTAGAAAGAATAGATATAATATCAAAATAGGTATCAAAGAAAAATCCAATTAATCGTATTTATAACCAACTAATGAATACAAAGAGTGATAGAAACGTTGATCATTGTGATGATTTTTTAAACCAAATTAATGCTATCCTACTGGCATCAAATAAATTAGTTTTAAACTTTCTTTTGTTCTGTAATAATTACACTTCTAAAACAAGAATTTGATATATGCTTGATGTGAAAATATAGATTATTTAACAGAAAACATGCACGTTTAAAACGCAAGCTTCGATTAATCGCGATTAGTGAATATGAATTTTTGATTATTACACGATTAATCGTTCTTTTCTCCGAAAGTTGCGATAAAGTATGTTTTAATTATTACCAGCTCTGTGAAATCTGATAACTCAGCACTTTACACCGATTTCTTCAAGATCACCAAAATCGCGGCGATTTTCACGATATCGGATGCTTACAAAAACATGAAAACTCGATTTCTGGACGAGCATTTTCAGTACGAACAAAACTTTGGAGAAAACTATTTTTGCTTAATAAAGAAACTTCTTTGTGATATTAATTCGAGATCTGAATTGCGATCTGTTTAGTAGATACATAAATGCACAAAACACCAAAACTTTGTATATTTTTCAGCGATTTGGCTGTTGAAGTTGAATCATATATCTTTGATATGTTTGAATTCATTTGTTTTAGGAAATACCTGTAAACTTCAAATAAGCTCACAGTGAAAATTTGAACTACAATAGATGTATCCTTCATGAGATATCGGTGCCAAAAAAGATCGAAAGAAGGATGATTTTTTCACCAAAATGGCCTTAGAACAACTTGAATATCTCAAGAACGGTATTATATTTTTTCAATTTGCTTGCATAGAAACTCGCGAACAACTCATCTCTATAGCTAATGTACGGTCATGAAAGTCGTTAATGACATAGCCAGTGATGTCTATGGGAAACCAATGGTAATTCTTGTCGAATGCCTCACACACCCCTATACGAAAATGACTTGCTGTACAGGCCATTTATGGAGATCCCACGCTGATTTTTTTTATAGAATTGTAGAGCAGAGATCAGACTACCAACTTGTAAAAAGCACCTCCGCAGCTAGCTCATATTATAGGAGAAAACTCGCCCTAAAAACACCTATTTTCGGCAGGATCCCATTATTCAGGAGCCTGCTGTATCTAAACGAAATAACATATATGGCTAAAATTTTCAGAAACCATAGATCTATGAGTGTTCAATCTGTCGTGAAAGTTCCACGCATCCATCTTATTTCAATCAAACGTTATATAGAAGAAAAGTTACCGAAAACGCTGATTTTCGTCTATATCAAAGGAGTCATGAAATTTCAACAGTTCCATATTTTGAGAAGCAAATTCTTCTACAGTAAGTAGAACTCATTAAGTTGTGTGCGTGTACAAAATGTCAGCCCATTCTATATAGCCAACTTCGAGATATAGCCACATAAAGCTAAGATCAAGGAAAATGGTCATTTTTAGGCCTTTCGTAAAATGATCATAAAATATCGAGCGTTCAAGATTTTTCAAAGCACCTTTCGTGAAAATTCTCAGCGATCTTCCCTCTACAACATATACAAAATTGAGTGAAATCGGATGACATCATTTCAGCAGGTTCGAGCGTCGCTTACATGGACTGGCTCATATAGTGAAAATAAACACTTTCTGTTACTATTAATAAGAAATCATGATGGCGTATATGAAATTACTTTATTTATGTTTTACTAGAAAGCCCAACTTGCTAATTCAGATGCTTGCACACTTGGCACGCTCTGATAATGTTTTTTAGTACTGTTCTGTTGTATAGATGGTGATTGTTGCAAATAATTTCCAACATAGAACATCATGAGTCGACCAAATCCCCAGAATTTACCACCAGCAAGAAGAATATTAGAAATAGAAAAAAGATCTATCCTCTGAATAGGTATATGTACTTGAAGAACATGAAGTAAGGTAATCGGTGACCATATAGCAATTGTACGATCGAGTGACGATGAAAATAATCGACTGGTATTAATATCGAATTTAAGACAAGTTATCTAAAGAACGAAAAAATAAAGTAACAAAATTGTAATTAGAAATATTTTGTATTAAATTATTCTTGAAATACTTATTAGAAATAATGTCTACTTCAGTTGTCATTTTAGATGGAAATAGAAACTTGAAAGAAATCTTTCAGTGAAAAGTCATCAATGATTCTATCTCTCCTTACGTCATCTCATTGGAGGAAGACAAAAGTGCCTAATTTCCAGTTGAAGATTTTACTAATGAACTATAACTATATCTTTCATTACCTGGTCCATATGAATCGAGTCCAATACATCATGAGCACATTTGTCTGCCAAATGCCACAAAATGATCGATCCATCAGTTGCACCCGATGCTACACATGAATCATTTGGTAATTTTACGGCTAAACTTGTTATTGTAATTGATAAACTAGATTTTTCTGTGGTTTTTCCATATATTGCCAGAGAATGACGCATCCAACTATGATAATCAGAACGTATTTCAAGTTCAGCTAAATGCGATGGCAGACGAACATGCAATATTGTACCTTGATAGGCTAACCAGAGTACAGGCCGAGTATACAAGGATACACAACTCATAAATGCAGTAATTTTACCCTTAGATACTATTTTTGATTTAATATATGTAATAGGTTCTGTAAAAGGTGAGATTTTAAATTGATTATCACAAGAAAAAATACGAAAATCATGAAGATTAGGATCATTTTCAAGATTTAATGATTGTTTGAGAATAAGAAATCGTTTAGTGGGTGTAAATTCAAGAGAATATTCTGCGTCACGAATAGGAATAGACAAAATTTGTTCCCATTGAACTCGAAATATATTTTCTATATCATAGAATTTTAATTGTAAAACAATAAATTGATTGATAAACATAAATATAATTATATTTGAATCGTATGTTTGAAATGAAAAGAATTTTGATTGAGATTTAATTTTAAGATTATATTCAAAAATTGAACGATCAAGATTATGTAATGAATAAATATAAACAATATATTCACTGTTAACAACAACATAATATTGTCCATTGTTTAACATAGTAATATGTTCAATATTCATATTTTTAAATGAATATAATAATTCAGATGTTAGCGTTCGATTATTGGAAGACTGCATTACTAATGGACAATTTAAATCATATTCACACGCACTAATACATGTATTACTGATCTAAACAAAATTTTAAGAAAAATATTACAGAAAACAAACAAAGGATAAATATATCATACATTATAATTTTTAATTCGAGTAAATAATCCTTTGGGTTGTAAACTTGTTTGTGATAATTGATTTGTATCGAGTAATTGTATTGTTTTATCACCAAGAAGAATTAAAATATAGGTTCGTTTCTTTTCATCGTTATCCATGATAGTTGTTGTTTGAATCAATTGAATATATTGAACGTTTGAACGAAAATTAATTTTCATTGGATTCAATGTTGATAGATCATTGTTCTCTTGGCGATACATTTTAATAAATGTTTGACTTGAATCAATAGTGATTAATATTTTATTATTATCATCTTGATTAATCATATGCCAATTGAATAGTGTTTCATTAAGATCAATTTTTTTTAGAATAATCGAAAGATTTTTTCGATCAAAAAAGTTCATATGTTCAATTGTCGATATAGCAATCATATCATCAGATAAACAAACTAGATGATCTAATTTTTTATTTTGTAAAACGTTTGATTGTTGTGCCGTATCATCAGTAGATAAAGCTAGTACTTTCGTTTTAGGTTTGATTTTGAACAAATCTAACATTCGAAAATCTCCATCGGTACTTGCAATATATAAGTGTTCACTATTATTTGCTGGTAAATCAAATAGATCCAGTGACGATTCATTGTGATAAATCAAAGTAAAACGCATTGGCAAGATTTCATCATGTTCATGTAATGACCACAGTGAAATAAGTACATGATCATTCTCATCAAATATTAGACAAAGAATATAATCATCGTTAGCACCAACAAATCTCACACAAACATCAACATTTGCACTGTTTTCTATTTGTAACGATGCAGCTTTTATTGGTATGCGACTACTCTATAATATTAAAAATGATCATAGAAAGGTTCTCATTGCAAATAAATATGTTTTATTTAACGAATACAAATTAGTGTTTGTAGTGTATGTATTTTGAGTTTTTTTTTGGATCTTGAGAAGTACGTTCTTTTTAGTTTAATGATCATGATGATTTTAGAAATATATGTGAACACAATTTTTTTTCGTTTTCATTCAAGTCCCGAAGAAAGAAAAGTTTATTTTATTTTTAATCATAGTAATTCCGAAAGTATCTGAAATAAGAGAATGGTAAAATCTCACGAAAGCATACTCGATAAATTGCGTCCTCATCAACTTCGTCCAGCGCTATAACACGAAATTCATTGGCCACCACTAAACACCTGTAAAATAAGTGCAATTAGTATTATAGAATACTCCTGGAATTGCACAATCATGCTTTTTTTTCTTCTGTGTCAAGACGATCGATGTTAGTTTACTTAACAAACTAAATACTTGAGTTGTTAAGCACCAGAATCAAGAAAAAAAAGTAATTTTATGTGCTAGAGGATTAACATCTAAGGTTCTGTTCAATAGCAAATAATACGTATGAAATTTAAAATATTATGCAAGTCCAGGATTTATGCAGTGAGAGAATAGAATCTATAGCGAAAAATTCATGCGAATATACATCTAATCAATTCATTGTTTAGATCTTATAATAATATGTGTTTTGAAATGAGCTAAAAATTCTTCGAAAATTCAACATGATACATAGAGCGCGATTATGATATATACGATAGTGAATTCTAAACTTATGAAATTGCAAAAGCAGTGTAAATTCATCTAGCAAAAAATAAGATTTTCATGGCCTATTATAAAGAAATATTAGTATTTATGTTTATATACGATTAGTATCAACTACTATTCTTGGCATAGCTTTTAAAGGAATTTCAGCAGCTATTGACGTCAATCTTACATAAGATTTCAAATGTTTTTGACAATAAATAAAACTATGGACCATTTAAAATATAAACTTCTAAATGAACAAAAAAAAAACAAATGAAAATTAATTAATGATGTTAGTTTTACATCTTGAACTAACTTTTCTCATTCTAAACATGCCGCATTACGAGCAAGAGAAAAAACAGTAAAATCTATATTTCTTTCAATTAACTTACTCTTCATTAGTTGTCATACAATAAGCTTTATTACAAAACGATTTGTTATCCCATGATAATGTTCTTTCACTTAGCATGTCACCTGTTCGACTACTAAATGTTTTTACACCTTCAACTCCAAATAGATATACTTTATTTCCATTTTTAGTTATATATCCATCCCAAATTTTATTAAAATTTTCACCCAAAACTATTTTATCGACCTAAAAAAAGAAACAAATTTTTCTGTGTACATCAATTTATTACCAAAAACAAAATTCTTACTTTTCCTGTTTGCATATTAATCATAGCAACTGTATACGTTTCAATAAAATGATTTTTATCGTCATCTTGATATCTACCAAGAACAACAAGTGTGTAAAATTCATTTAGAAATAAAACATGTGTTATAGGTGAAAAACTCCATGCTAATGCACCTGTTTCTTGTGGGAAACCAGCATATACAGAACGAAAAGAATTATCATGTTCATCACAGTATTTTCGACAATCGATCAGAAGTTTTTCAAGATCATTATTTTTATCGGAATCATTTAATTCATCATATAATTGACTTGTATGATAATCGTCAATAAAACCAAGTATTTGTTCAGAGAGTATCAATGAAACATCAGCATCTTTGATAGATTCATCATCAATTGACCATACAGCTCGATAAAGACGTTTTAAATCAACCCAATCCTTTCGTAAACGTAAACAATATCGAATCGAATCAAGAAATATTGTATGACCAAGACTTTGTAATTGGCATGAAAGAAAATTTAAATTAAATAAACATATTGATCGTAATAAATGATCTTTTTCTGTGCCAAATTCTAAGCAGTGATAGGGAAGTGCTATTAATTTTCTTTTATTAAGTTTATTTGTTATTTGAGAATTAATCAGACGATCAGCATCGTCGATAATTTTATTATTTCGTTGTTTTAATACTATTGTACGTTTATATGATGATTGATCATTACAATAGACTTCAATAAGATGTTCATGGCATTGTTCACGTAAATGTTTATAACGTTTTCTTGTTGATTCAGAAAATTTTCGATGATAAAACGATAGAATATGTTTATCATGAATACGTTTACGACTTAAATATTCTTTTATCGAATAGAGTAATGATTGACAAAGAAGTGATGGAACATGAATTGCATTTGGAATAGGTGGATCATGATGTGCATAGATTTCGTTTAGAACAGTATCATTTATTGATAGACAATCTTCTAATTCACTTTCTGATATACCATTTAAACCATAAACTAAATAGGCAAGTGAATATTGAACAAATTCTTTACCATGACGATTTTCTAGACGAGCAAATAATTGTTCGACAGCATCTTCAATTGTTTCAGGTAATGATAAAGTTGTTTGTGTTGATTGTTTTGGAAAATATGTCCATCGTCTTGCAATATCTATTAATAATTTTAAATATAAAGGTTTTGGATTTTGTTCTACAGTTGTTAATAAATATATATATTGTTCGGATGTTAACTGTCGATTATGTACTTGTAAAGAACTTCGAATTATATCTTCACAATCATTCGGACGAAGACGCGGTACAGTAAATAATGTTGAATCATCATTGCGCATAAATTGTAAAAATAAATCTTTTATATTAAAACGTTCAATATTTGGTATAAATGACATAAATATATGAACATCACGTGGTAGAAAACGTAATAACCATGAATTAAATTGAAATGAATATTTAGATGTATCTTCGAGTTGATCAAAAGCATCCAATAAAATAAATAATGGTTTTGGCCGAACTTCCTTACGAATAATTTTCGAACGCTTTTTTGATACTAATTTCAATCTATCATGAAATTTTCGAACGAGGGACGAAAATGTTGAAGATTCATTATCTTCATCGCTATCACTATTATTTTTGCCATCATCATTATGGCCATATAATGTTGCCAATTGTGTACATAAAGAACGTATGACTAATTCAATACTTGTGGATGGTGCTGATGTACCCAGAAATCGTATAAATACAGCACTTCCGGGATACCAAATACGTAATTCTTTAGCTAAACGTGCCATAAATGATGTTTTCCCACAACCCGATTCAGCAACAAAAGCAATAGGTGTTGATGTATTTCGACGATTTAATTCAATACGTGAATGAACACTTTCCAGAAGTTCTTCTCTACCGAAAAAAAATTTTGTTTTCTCCTGAGCAAATGTTGCATGATGAAGAAGATCTTCATGAAATGTTGAAAGAGTTTTATTTAACATAATACGACAAGTATTTTCAACTAATGTCATTATAGTTGATGTTAGAAATGTACACAATTCATCGATATATTGTCTATGAGATGTTTCTTCTTTTATATCTATGCCACCAGATTTCTGAAAAATTACATCAATATTTGACATATCTATATTAGAAGAGATTATTATTTTAATTACCCATGGTACAGTAAAATTTCTAAATTGTTTTACGGGTGTTATTTTGGCACAGTATGTTTTCAATTGATTTATTGAATTAATAATACGTTCGTTTTTTACTGAATCTATGCATAAAAATCAAAATTGAGTAAAATTTTTGTCTGTCTAATAAAATAAATATTTTATGGCTGACCAAAAAATTTTTCGTCAACACTCGTTTCAATTGTTGGATTTGAAAAATCACGAACAATACCAATAACATTCGAACGATTTGTTTCTGTTGTTGCTCGGCGTATTTCTCGTTCAGTAACTAAAGAAAAATGCATAAGATATGAAAGATAGACATGAGGTTGACTGCAGAAAGAAAATGACTTGATTGAAAATAGATCGTAGCTTGTTGATTAGATATTTTTTTCTTTTGATATGCTAAATCAACAGCTTCTCGCAAGGCTTTCAATAGAGACTTTTCTTCTATTTGCCATTGTTGTTTTTCTTGTTGTTGTTCCTTGGATTTTTCTTCAAAACGTTTAAAATGAGTTGTAATTGGCTATGAGAAAAAATAATATTTCTTAATTTTGAGTTTTTTTCCGAATAACATAAAACGCGAAATGTACTTACAACATAAACATATTTTGATGGAGATGAATTCTTATCAAGTTGAAACCATTTTTTTAAAAGATCAGTATTTGGTATGTTGGCTTCATTGGCAACTGCAAGAATTGCCTCAAATTCATCTTCATCGATATCAATTGGCACATACATATAACCATAACGATTACCAATTAAATAAATAAAATTCAGACCAGCTGACAGATTAATACATCGATCGATTTCATCCATACATATTATATCAGCTGTATGATCACTATCTGCTGTATCGGAGACACCCCATCTATAATTATATAATGTTAACCCCTTGTAAATAAAAATATCTAAGTATCACACTAATCTCTTACCTCATGTCAACAACTTGAAATTCATAACCAAGTTGTGCACATCGTTGTTTGATTGATGGAAATACTCGTCGATAGAGTTCATTGCGTTCAACTTTAAAATCCGAAAATGTTGAACTAATGAAAATTCTAAAAAGTCGTGACGTTTGTTGAGAAAAATCTCGTGTAAAATCTCCAACAGTGAGTCGAGTAAATTCAGCTGTATTGACTGCAATCGGTTCTGATACTTGTTGATTATTGGAAAAAACAGGAGGATTATTTTTTGTAACGTTAATCACTTTTTTCTCATCTTGCCGACCAACGATGGGTTTTAATTTTACCAGCGTTTTGCTTTTTGCAGCCATAAATTGTCAAAACGAAAAACATGCCCTTGATTAATACATCTCAAAGGATATACATACTACTGCCATTAACTCTGATCATTGCTTGACAACGACCTCTATATTGATTATCAATCCAATATTTACGAAAAAAAAACTTTCTTGTCGTGAATCATTTTCGTCACAATTACTTAAATAGAAAAATATTGAAATTGCATTTTCTTAAATAAATTTTAACCTGATGAACTATTTTTTTTTAAAGCGTTTATTTATTATTTATACTCGACGTTACTTACTCATCAGCCAGTTTCATTCTTTTTTCTTTTTAGTTGAATGTCTCCCTTTCAATATAGCTCGTACAGGAAATCTTTTGCCACGTAAAAGTGCTTTTTGTTCTGTTCGCCTTTTTCAACCTTCGTTTTTCACTGCGGTTGTTTGATATTATTTTGTTGTACTACATTCATTCACATACGAATAAATATATGTAAAATTATTGGTTTTATTATTCATAGATGATCCCGGCAACATTTATCAGTTTTTTGAGCATTGCTTGTCTTATTCAACCGATTCTTCCATTCTACATTCCCGGTGTTGCACCTCTTGATTTTAAAAAAGGCGAAAATGTTGAAGTTAAAGTAATTTATTTCTATTAAAAATAATCAATTATCTAAATACTTATATATATATATATATACAGGCTGTTAAAATGACTAGTACAAAAACACAGTTACCATACGATTATTATGATATAGGTATTCATTGTAAACCGTCAAACGGTACAATTTATAAATCTGAAAACCTTGGTAAATGAATAGAAACGCAGAGAAGAATTTTTAAAATAACAAAACAATTTTTCTAGGTGAAATTCTTCGTGGAGATCGTATTGTGAATACAAAATTTCAGGTAAAATTGGGTATATTTAGAAACGAAACTAAATTCAAAAATCTAAATTAGGTTGGCATGGATACAAATGTGGCATGTCGAACACTTTGTAAAGATGTAAATTTAACACCCGAACAAAGTAAAACACTTGGAAAACGTATTCGAAATAATTATTATGTTCATCTGTAAGAAATGAAGAAAAAAATATTCTGTTCTATCAATTTTCGATTTCCTTTCAAGTCTTGTTGATAATCTACCATGTGCAACGAAATTTCAAAATGTTGAAACTCATGAAACTTTTTATGAACATGGTTATCGCCTAGGAATCTATACAAAAGAACCCGAAGCGATGTATGTAAATAATCATTTAATTATGAGATTGCATTATCATCAAGAAGCTGAGTATGAATATTAATTTGCAAGTTTAATTGATGAAAAATTATTCATGTTTTTTTCTATTTGAAGTGAGTCATTTCGTGTCGTTGGTTTCGAAGTTGAACCGAAAAGTATCGATTCAAAACGTATTAAAACCGAAGAAGATGGTACTTGTGTGATTCAAGGTGGTCAAGATATGCAAAAAATCAATCCGAAAGGTTGTATTTATTGATAATAAAAGTTTTATTTTAAATAAAGACTTTTTATCGTTTTTATAGAAGAAAATAAAGTAACAATGACTTATGAAGTTGAATGGACACCAAGTGAAACACGTTGGGCTAGTCGGTACGATTTTCTCTATAGAAATAGAATTAAGGCACTACAATATGTTACTATTTACATCATGTTGAATAGACGATAGAACTACGATGATAGGTTTTGCCAAATAATACATCAAGTAATAGGTAGATCTTAGATTTTCTTCACAATAACATCGTATTTTCAGAGCTGAAAATTACTCATTTCAATCTTTAAGAAATCTTATCAGCATCGTGCATACATCAAGTTTTGACATAGAATGCGTCATTTTAGAAAATTTTATTGCCCATAGTTGCTTAAGACTCTAGACAAAAACTTCAGCTACATTATTATTAAACTGTTTTCGCTGACTTTATATCAACGTGAAATTTCTACACATGAAAATATTTTAGTTCTAAACAGAAGAAATGCTCCAGTAAACTATTACTCTATCATTATGTCTCTCAGTAGAGTAGTTGTGTGGGCGTATTTTTTTAACCTTTTTCTACTATCTAACACCTGTATCGTATGTACTACGATTGATCAAACGTTCTTTGTTAATCTAATATTGTACGTACAAAAAACATAATAATACGAAAGCACGTACTTCGTTTACTGGTAAAAGATATTATCATTACATGAGTTATGAATAGTATGAAAGCTTTTGATGATTTTTCAATAAATCATTCATGTATTCTTTTAGTAATAGAATGATTTACTCATTGAAAAAATTGTTTTAGTCCTAAAAACAAATCGATTTAATCAAGAATATCCGACGATAGGCTGAGCTTCAGAAAAAGTTCATAATTAGCTAGGCTTCTGAAAACTGTAACGTTTATGTTTTACTAACGAGGATTAGTCTCATTTTGTCCGAGATTATTATTTTCAAGACACAACAATTACCAGAGATTTAAATGTTAGTAGTTTAAAATTTATTTGATCGTTTTCTTGCATACTTCATATGTAAAATTACACTAGACAGGGTCGATCATAGCAGCCAATATTTACGAACGGATATAAATATGATTGAAAGCAGAAATTTAAGATTTTACTTCGTTAATAGAATGTCTTTATGAATCATTTTGTATAAAGGATTTTAATTTTAGTTGGGATACATATTTGGCAATGACAGATGTTCAAATTCATTGGTTTTCAATAGTCAATTCAGTTATTGTTGTCTTCTTTCTTGCTGGTATACTGTCAATGATTATTGTTAAAACACTTCGACGAGATATTGCACGATATAATCAAGAAGATACAGTTAGTTTATGTCTATATGGAAAACAATTAAAAATATCGTTTTTATTTAGGATGATGTCACTGAAGAAACAGGATGGAAATTGTATGTTTAATATGCTTGTCTGTTTCTTTATTTAAATATTTTGCCGTGATTCGATAGAGTTCATGGTGACGTATTTCGGCCACCTCATCGTAAGAATGTTCTTGCAGCTCTTATTGGTTCAGGTGTTCAACTTTTACTCATGTCACTTATCGTTATTGGTATGTATTGTGATAAGAAATAATTTTCCTATATAGCTATGAATTCAATTCAAATTATTTTAGTTTTTGCTGCGCTTGGCATGCTTTCACCATCATCTCGTGGTGCATTAATTAGTGCTGCCTGCTTTCTTTATGTATTTATGGGGTAAGAATATCTCTCAATCAATTGAATAGATTCCACTTACTTAATTATTAATTAGTTTAATTGCTGGTTTTTATTCTGGTCGAATATATAAAACAATAAAAGGCTCAAATTGGAAACAAACCGCTGGATTAGTATGAATTATCGTGTATTTTTATCTATCTATTTGATGTACTCTTTTTCTTTTTGTGTAAAGACAGCAACACTTTATCCATCAGTAGTTTGCGGTGTTTGTTTTATTCTAAACTTCTTTATTTGGGGAAAACGATCGTCGGGTGCTGTTCCATTTTCAACAATGCTTGCCATATTAGTTATGTGGTTAGGAATTTCATTTCCACTTGTTTGTCTTGGCTTCTATTTTGGTTATCGTAAACATGTAAATATACAAATAGAACACCAAATTCATAAGTAAAACAAAACTTATTCTAGCCATATGATCAACCAGTTCGTACGAATCAAATACCAAGACAAGTACCAGAACAACAATGGTTTATGCATCCTGTTTTAAGGTAGATAAAAGAATTGATCTTTTGAAATTTTTAATTGCCTATCTTCCTTTTTTTGTTTAGTACTTTGATTGCTGGTAAGAGATTGAAAATAGGAAAATATTGAAGATAATATTCTTTATTAGGTATACTGCCGTTCGGAGCTATGTTTATTGAGCTATTTTTCATATTTTCGGTAAGTAGAAATCAAAAATCACTTCGTCTGATTTCAAAATGTTTCTTTTTTAGGCTATTTGGGAAAACCAATATTATTATTTATTTGGCTTTCTGTTTCTTGTGTTCATCATTATAATTAGTATATTAGAAGAAATCCTGGAAACGTTTGAATGTTTATTATTTTATTTTTGTTTAGTTTCTTGCTCTCAAATATCAATTGTCATAACTTATTTTCAATTATGCGGAGAAGATTATCATTGGTGGTGGAGATCATTTGTTGCATCAGGTGGATCAGCATTTTATGTATTCGGTTATTCGATCTTTTATTTCTTTTCCAAAGTAAATATCTTGAAAACTAGCACGACTACCTGTAGTTTATTTAATGGTCCAGAAAAAGCTGTAAAAGCCTGTAGTAGATTATACTGATAAAGCTACGCTTAACTATCGTGAAGTCCTTGAACTATCGACATAAATTATACTAAATTGAAGACATAAGTTAATTATACGTGACTATTTTTTCAATATGGAGCAGTTGGACGTATATGTGAGTGTTCTATTGAACGACGGAGATGAATGAGAAAATCTCAATACGATTCGAATTCGATCTCTTGTTCTACGTTACATTCTCTGAGGTCAATGTCGAACTTACTAACATAATACGTTACATAAAAAAGTTGCTAATGTTGCTGCATACATGTAGTCATATTAATATTAATTTGTTATTGTTCATTCAAAGAAATAAATGTTGTTTTTCGTTCTTTCAGCTTGATATAACTGAATTTGTTCCATTGATGCTTTATTTTGGCTATACATTACTCATCTGTTTTTCATTTTGGATTCTTACTGGTACAATTGGTTTTATTGCATCATTTATTTTTGTTAGGAAAATTTATGCTGCTGTTAAAATCGATTAGACAGACAGATAGTGAGCGATAGATGTATACATAGATTTTCTCACGCTTTTTTTCTAGAAAACACAAGACTTCATGCAAACGTTCTTTTTTCTTATTTATTTTTTTCCTTAGTTTTACGTTTTCTGCGTGTGTGTGTGTGTGTGTGTGTGTGTGTATCTGAATTCGTTCGATTGATTATACTTTATGGCTTCATTTAACTTTTCTCTCTCTCTCTCTTTATCTTTAAATATATATTGTTTTTGTTTGTTATTGACAGTTTTGTAACATTCAAAGATTTAAGAGTTCTTGAATATGATCTTAAATCCTTAGATTATCTAATAAAATATGAGTAAACGTATAGCTGCAGGATTTATTATATTTCGCCGATTGGAACGGAATCCTATTGAATATTTATTACTACAAACATCTTATGGAGAACATCATTGGACACCACCGAAAGGTAAAAAATATATATATTTATATTAAATCGATATTAATTATATAACCGAGCTATTCACGAACTGATAAAAGTATTTTATTTCTAACAATGCTTATGCTTGTTTATATTTGTAGTATGTTATATAATAGATGATATATATTAAATTTCAGGTCATTTGGACGATGGCGAATCTGCATTACAAGCAGCTGAACGTGAAACAAAAGAAGAAGCTGGCTTAGATAAAAATGATTTAGAACACTATAATAAATTTGAGGAAAAAATTACTTATAATGTTAGTGGACGACCAAAGGATGTTTTCTACTACTTAGCTCGTCTACGGAATCCTGAACAAACTATTCAGTTATCTGATGAACATCAAAATATGAGCTGGTCAAATTTTCAAGATGCATGTCGTCTCGTCAAATATCATGAAATGATAAATGTATTAAAGAAAGCAGATGAATTCATACAAAATAATTAATAAAAATAAAATCATACTCTACGAGATTTCACATCATCAAAGACTATAACACACTAATTTAAGTGTGAATTGAAACATCTTTATTTTCAATATGAAGCTAAATGACACTCAAATCGATTTATTCAGTATTGTCATTTCCATTGCAATAATTTTAAAAAAATATATACATGTGCGTTAAATGCTGATTGAAACATTTTTTTACGTAACCACATGGCCTTGTTTTATATTTTGAAGAGTGCATGAGGTGAAAACGATGGCTTCATTTGCGCTTGATAAATGGATATTGAAGTATATCGCTTTTAGATGGCTACTAGCATTGAAATAATCATTCTAGTTAAGTAAATTTAATAAATATCAGTATCCACAACAAACACTATATATTGCAGTTCAAAAAGGTAAAGTTCTGGTCAGAATGGTTAAACGTGTTCCATTGGTTTTAGTCGCTGTGTGATTGTGTAGCATTTTGAACTTTTGCAAGAAATTCATTTTTATTCAATTTATTTATTGGAGTCAATCATTATCTACATATAAAATACAAAATAAGTTCTAGCAACCTTTTCAGCCTTTATTGGAAACAATAACATAAACATATTTATGAATATACAATCATGATACATGCACAAAGGATAAGACCATACAGTCACTACTTTCAAGTTTCAAGTTGATCATATGTTTTAGTCTTACGCATAAACGCATTTTCTACGGTTTTATGTTTGCTCTGTGTGCCGTTCAATTCATGATTTTTCATTTTAATGCTTCTCTTTTTGTCTTCAAATACGTTTTCTTGTATATTATTCACAGTTTTCTCACACTGAACGATTTCGAACTTGTTGAACGTGATCTTTAATCTTCAGATTATTTAAAACCGAAATATGACTAAACGTCCATCAGCAGGCTTTATTGTATTTCGTCGATTGGAAAAAAATCTTATTGAATATTTATTATTACAAGCATCTACCGGTAAACAACATTGGACGCCACCAAAAGGTAAAATACGTAGAGAAAAATTGGACTAGTTGCAAGATTATAAAAAAATCTTTATCCCTACATGTGAGACTTTCTTTAGACCTAGAACTGCTCTGTTGGTGCTAAAATAATAATAAAAAAAACGATAATTAAGCTTGGTTGATTTATCTCTAGTCTTCTGAAGACGTTCTATGCTTGTAAATTTCAGGTCGTTTGGAAGCTGGTGAATCGCCATTACAAGCAGCTGAACGTGAAACGAAAGAAGAAGCTGGTTTGGATAAAAATGATTTAGAATATTATAAACAATTTCAGGAAACAATTGCATATGATTCTGAAGGACAACTAAAAAATGTTTTTTATTACTTGGCTAGTGTACGGAATGTTGGCCAGAGTATTCAGTTATCTGATGAACATCAAAATTTGTGCTGGTCAACTTTAGAGGATGCATGTCGCTTAGCTAATCATAGCGCAACGGAAAATGTATTAAGAAAAGCAGATGAATTTATACAAAAGAATCTATAAGAATACAACAATCTATTTTCCCCCGTATAACTTGATAACACAATCGTTTCTCTTATTAAAATAAACGATATTTTAATTAGTAAACAATAAAGGTATACAATAACCGATGAATTAGTACAGCTTCGCCGAATTTTATTTTCGCCGACTTCAACATCGCCAAATAAAAATTTTGACCGAAAAATATCGAATCAAAAATTTGATCCATTTTAGATATAGAATTTTATCCTAACTAACTACTTTAATAGTGACTTGATTAATTAACCCCATCCGACTTGGTAACCAACTGACTTGGTAACCATCTGTTTTGATAACCCACGCACACACCTACACACTCCCATACCCCACGCACACACCCACACCCTCAAGATAGTAGTTAGTTAGGATAAAATTCTATATTTAGAATGGATCAAATTTGATTCGATATTTTTCGGCCAAGATTTTTATTCGGCGAAGTTGGAGTCGGCGAAAATAGGCGTCGGCGAAAATAATCGTCGGCGAAAATAATCGTCGGCGAAAAAAAGATTCGGCGAAGCTGGAATTTACCTAACCGATGATGTCACTCATCGACATGATTGCTGTTTTAAATTTTCGTGATTATGCGCATGCTTCCTCTGCTTTGGTTACACATAATCGCTTCATTTCACTTTTTAATGCGATGCGAAGCAGAAGCATTTCTGTATTTCGTCGCGAGTTTTTTAATGCGATGCGAAGCAGAAGCACTTATGTAGTCCGTCGCGAGTTTGTTTTTTTTTTTTTTAATTTTTACTCACTTGTTTTATTTTATTTTTAATTTTTACTTACTTGACGTACGCATTACAAGTCGTCATTTTGTATCGCAATAATCTCGAGAACCGAAAAGCATAGAAATGTCGTTAAAACGTAAGATAGAAGTATCGACATCGAACTGGTTACACCTGTTTTCGAATCTTCAATCTAAACTTCCGTTCACTCACAAATCTGGTTCCAAAATGACGAAAATAAAAGAAATTTATCAAGAGATAATTAAAGTGACGTCATGAACATATGCTAGCCAGTATAGTCTATTCATTTACAGCTGATCTAAGATAATGAATCATGGAGATAATTAATCGATCAATCGAAATTGACCCTTAAGAATGTATCGCTAAGTAAGAATGGAGTTTTCTCAGTGATGAATTTCATCATGTCGACATAAAAAGTATTCAAGATTTCTCTGAATTGAAGATTTTTCGTGAAGATCCGATTCGAGCTTCGCATCGCATTCGTATTCGAGTGAAACCTGAATACCATCTAGTTTCTTCTTCGAGTCAATAGAATATTATTCTGTTCGTTATTAATAGTTTTGTAACATTCAACGATTTAAAAGAGTTCCTGAATAAAATCTTACATTTTTAGAAAATAAAATAAAATATGAGTAAACCTGAATCTGCCGGATTTATTATATTTCGTCGATTGGAACAAAATCCTATTGAATATTTATTATTACAAACACCTATCGGTAAACAACATTGGACGCCACCAAAAGGTAAAGTATATATTCAACACAAGTTCAGAAAAGCCGAGCTATTGAAAAAATTATCGAAATATTTTATTCTCATCGATGTTAATGTCAGTAAAGAGTATTTGAGACTTTCTTTAATGCTCGACGTTTCCTGCCTGTGCAGACTAAATAATACAAATAAAACTTTAAAAAAAAATGAAACACTAGATTTATTTGACTGAAATCTAGTCGTCTACATATAGTCTAAGTTGGTTCATTTTTTAGTTTGCTTAAAAATTGCTCATATAACAAATTTCAGGTCATTTGGAAGCTGATGAATCGCCATTACAAGCAGCTGAACGTGAAACAAAAGAAGAAGCTGGCTTAGAGAAAAGTGATTTTGAGTACTATGATAAATTTGAGGAAACAATTACATATGATTGTAATGGGCGACCAAAAATTGTTGCTTATTACCTCGGCCGTTTACGGAATGCTGAACAAAGTATTCAGTTATCTGATGAACATCACAATTTGTGCTGGTCAACTTTAGAAGATGCATGTCGCATAGCTAATCATAGCGAAACGCAAAATGTAATAAGAAAAGCAGATGAATTTATACAGAAGAATCTATAAGAATACAACAACGTCTTTTTCCCATATGAATTCATCATACAGCCGTTTCCCATATTAAAATAAAATACACTGAAATTGATGTATTCAGTATCATCATTTTCATTGAAAAATAATAAATATGTATATCCACATTAACAGTCTATGAAGTAAAAAGATTTAAAATCTTGATGATGAGTTACATAGCTCTATTGCAAAGGTTTAAATAAAACTTTTTTTAGCATTACAAGAATAATACCTAAAATAACAGCAAAGTCTTAAACAATATAATAGACTATATCATTAAATCTTTAAGTTTGTTCAATATTCTCAAAAAGTTGTATTGAACATGATTTGACGACTGGAATTTAGCTTTCTGAATTATTACGTGATACAGCTTGAAATCGACTTTCGCCAAAAACAAACAATGTGGCTGTATAAACCATGAAGAATATAATTCAGTGAGTTGAACAAAAATACTACTCTAATTGATGGATAACATTTCCAGACGTCTACAAGTGTATGTTGTTCGAACTTCAGTTAATGATTATTGTTTCACTGCTATAAATAGTTTGTATTTCAATAAATTTTAAAAATATCTCAATGCACCCATATAGTTTATCAACAGTTTATTGAGTGTAATTTGAAATAATTGAACCCGTACGTATACCAATGACAATAATTTATAAGATATCCATCGGGTTTTTAGCTAAAGTTATAAATCACTCTTCATCATCAATAAACTTCTACACGAAAAATTCAATAGTATGATACTCCTCCTATACCACATTAACCTTTTCGCTAGTCGCTGATTTTCTTTATTTATTCTTGTACATATGTTACAGAAGAAATGCAAATCTCGAGCAAATTAAAATTCTTTTAGAGGAAATAAAAATAGTGTTGTTTCTGATAATGAGTGAATAATTTATCCTCTTCTTTCATTTTCCATTAACTCTCGGAACATATTCAAATCTTTCATTTCTCGGCGAAAATGTTTGTAAAAAGACAACATTTTAATTTCCTCTGTAACATACACGTTTATAAAAAAAATAAAATAAAATAATTTCACCAAACAGAACCATATTGATTACAAACAAGTGCAAAACATTGTTGTCCATCAACTAATAATCCATAATTCGTTATAATAGCTGTACGTAATTGCTTTTCATTTAAACGTGCAACTAATTCATCATATGTCAAACCAATATACAACATTGATGTGCCTTCCTGTTGATTTGTCCACATAGCTACAAAACGATAATCGCCATTTTTTAAATGATAAACTTTTAAATCAATTAATTTAAAATTATCTGTTAATGCTTTTGCATGTTCTTCAAGTAATTCCAGATCTGTTAAATTTATACGATAAAAAAAATCATGACTTGAACGTTTTGGTGATACTAAATTTGAATAGTATAAATTTCCGCATAACAAATGTGGACGGATATTAAACGCATGATGATTAGTTTCATTAAGCCATCGATGTGCTATAACGGCTGTACGTAATTTATGAAATGATTTTATTAGATCTTGACGTATATATAAACAAATATATCGAAGCATATTTTCACTTGAATGGCGGTATACATCGAAATGTATTAAATCAAATTGATAACGATTCATTTTTAATGTTAATTCATGAAATTGTGCTGGATTTAAATCATAAAACATAACTGATGTTCGATTTTGAAATAAATGATTATCGTTCCAAATGAATGTAAAATAATGTTGTCGATCAATAGTAACAACATCAAACCATGTTATATGATAATTTTCATAAACAGCTGAAAGTAAAAATGATGGCAATTGTTCATATGGAATTGATAATGCAACATGTTGATTATGCATAAGAGGTTTTGATGTTGGTAATTTTCGTTCTTGTTGTAATGACATATCTTTTAAATAGAATTTTTAAAAAAATAATCGTTTGTTTTTTCGTTTTTAGTCAAAATTACCTCGCATAAGAACTATTTCTTTATGTCTCATGTCATTTAAAAAGTGAAGTTCATTATAAGTTAATGGACGGTTATTATCAACATATCTTTTCGATTTTAATCCTTGTAATAACCATTCTGGTGTGTGAATTGTTAATTCGATAAGTTTGAAAAATGCTTCGAGTGACTGTTCAATTGGCTCACGCTTAAATACAAAACAAAGTACTGCTAACGTTTTTTTTCTTCTTCTATCTGTCAAAAATCAACTACGTATGTATTCATTCATTTTAATTTTTATTCATACTTTGATTCTTGATTAAAATCATAATTTATTGAGAGAAGGCTTTTGAAGAAAAATGTCATTATAGATAGATATTGGCTTTAATCGAATGGAATTAGTGAGATTGTTAGAAAGAAAACTGTACGTGGTGGAATGCCACCTGCTGCTTTTTCATCTTCTTACCGCTTGTAATATATATATACAGTGGAGTGCAAAAATAATTGCCGTTAGTATTTGATAAAGTTACTCTACTGAACATGATGCTTATTAAAAGTTTTTTTTAATAAATAAATTATGCATACGCAAATATAATAATCAATAGTTAGCTCTTTTTCCCTTCAACCAAAAAGAGCAGTAAACACTATAGATTCATCGATATACTCAAATAGCGTAGAATCACTTTGCCTATGTACATGGATTGTGTTCTAGCCTAGAAGGTGTGTTTGGAGAAGAGTGAAACAAGCTATGAATCTCCTTTTAGATCAAGATCCAATAGCCAAAGTTTCAGCTCGATACGATGTCTTCTCAATTTTCAAAGCGCGAAAGGAATGCAACACCACGTTCTCAACATTTGACCTCTATTTGACGCTGAAGATGGATTTTCAGAATTTGTTCACTTGGGATAAAATTTTATCTACTAGCCGATGTCTGTCTACTATGAAAATTTCAAGTCGGTCAGACAAGTCATTGTCGAGATAGTTTGAAAATCTGGTCCGAGCGCCACTTTTTCTGGTAATTCTACAGACCGTGATCATCCGTTTGTTTTTACAATACCATGTCGTTGGACCTCCTTTGTATTTCGTTAGATACTATGGCCGTAGAGCTTCTTTAAGGAGACGATTTTCGTAGCGCTACGATTGGCCTAGTCGTAGAAGTGTAAGATGACTGTTTGATATTCTAGAAAAGCGGTAGACACTCGAATCATAATGTCTCTCGCTCTACTGAGCGACACTTTTTGAGGAGTCCCGCTCTAATTAAAATCTAAAGCACATCCTTGATTGCTGGCAAGAGTTTCAGAAAATCCGTTCATACGCTTCACATATATGACCCAAAAATATGCGTAGGTGCAACGGCAAATGTTTTTGCACTCCACTGTATGTCTCTGTGTTGTTTAATGACCCTTTTTTACCATCTCTATTTCTTATGTACTTGATCTATTAAGCTAATAATAGAGAGCTCATAGTATAAATCGAGGCGTTTTGTGAAAGAACAAGTCTATCGTTGTCAAGAAGTTTGAAGGCTTCTTCCGGGAGCTTACTTTTTGTTGGTTCACGCTGTAGCATACATTATCAATAGTAAAGCAAATGTTTGCGAATTTCCTGTCGATTGTGATTCAATTTTTTAATTGATGGTTTTTTCAACGCATAGAAACAGTTAATTTTACTGGAAACCCTCAAGGAAAAGAAGTACATTTATGAGCGAAGGTTATGAACAAACAGGAAGTGAAACAAATTTTAATATAACAAAAAAGAAATATTGTAGCGCCACAAGAAAACTAGAAGATTGATTATATGTATGAGCATACGTATTTAATTGACTCATAAGCATCGTCTCCCCATTCGTCAGTTAAGATTAACTACAGTATAGTTATGTTGCTAATCATTTGAAATTACTTACGTCACTAAGCATGACAGTTGCTTTATAATTTTTTGTTAATTGCGCAATCAGAACTTCCGATGCTCGTTCACCATATGATGGCAGAATAACAGGCATGATTAACGGAAGACTATGACGACTTTGATGTTCCTTAAATGAAATAATAGAACTAAAGCATACATATTTTCCTAGTCTACATACAAGCGCAAATAAAAGCATCCATGAACACCAGAATGATGAATACCATTGCTCATCAATAATTGGTATAAATATTTTAGCACGAAGAATCTGAACTGGTATTGATTCATACCAATTTGTTGAAAAATCGATATTATCCGATGTTTGATAAATAATTTCTCGTCTTAAAGAGAGAGAAAAAAATGGAATTAATGTAAGTTAAATTTTTTAAAATCTATTCAATGGTTACGTTGAACATCGTTGTTTAGCAATTGCTGCTACTGATGAGCATTGATTTGATTGAGGACTAAAACAAAGGAAGACATCGACACCACAAGCTTCGTGTGCAACATGCGACATGTTGATGTTGTTATTGTGTATGTGTTTGTCAGTAAATAGAGATGGTGTTGAAAAAGAAAAGTTAAACAGTTTCCATGTTACTTCAATTTTCTGCTTTTCTTTTCTTTTGTTTTTATTCAAGGCACAAAATTTCACATCGTTTTTTTCTCTCTCTTTGACTACATGAGGCGTATCGACTGGTAAATAATCATGACAATCTTTGAGAGTAATAAGGGGACTGGTTGAAATCAAAGACAAGTTGATATAATCATGAACGAACATTTGACATATTTTTTTAAACTTCTCTCTTCTAGGGCTTCATATCGATTACGTTGACCAAAATAAGAACTGTATGGTTTGTGTTTAACATTCAATGATTAAGCGTTATGATTTGTTTTGACTTTTCATAAATAATCCTTGGATGCAATGTATTTAAATCAAGTTTAGTCAATAGTTTTTAAAAAAATAATATTTCAATCTCTTCACTTAACCAAAAAATGGTTTCTATTATTTACTTGAAAGTACTCTTTATTTGTTTTGTAATATAAACTGTGTATTTGTTGCGGAATATGTAACATAAACAAATCCACTTTGCCACAACTTATACGCTTTCAGTTTAATGAAAACCAAACAAAATTGTACTCAAATGTTTAAAATCTCGTTCGTGATTCAGTCTATACCTTATATTAATACGAAAATAGGATTTCTATTTCTATTACAATATCCAGAATAAAATGTGAATATGTTTCTGTAAGGCCCCAAACAGACCAAAAAGATAAAACAGAATTAAGCAACGTGATTGGTTAAATCACACTTAAGTCATTTTTTGGAGACAATTTAGTGGTTAATTCTGTTTTATCTTTTTGGCCTGTTTGAGTTCTAACATAATTTTCGAAAATGATATCAACTTTAGCCTTTCTTATCAAATCAAAAATAGATTTATCTTAGATTATTTATCATTGGCCTCGTCATTTTCACGAGAAAATTTATTTTCTGAAACAATATTGTTTTCTTTTTGTTTTTGAAAAAGAGATGTTTCTAAAGCAACGAATTTCTTCTCTGTTCTTTATGTAACAGTCGAGAACTTTCCAGAAATGTGTTTTCGTAAAAGTTAAATGTCAGTTAAAACTTACTGTAAAAATCAAAACTAATTTATTCTATCTTTTAAATTATGAAAATCGTTTGTAAAAAATAAAAAGTATGTTTTAAAATAATTTCTTTGGAAATATTTCTCAATGTTTTTCTCATCGATAGTAACGCTTCGTTTTCGATTGATTTTCGTTTTAACCAATCAAATTGTATATTTAGCCATTTAACCAATCTACTACATTCATCTTAACACACGTGTTTCTCCACAAGAATCTTTTTCTTCTGTATGCATCCATACATGCGGTTGCTTACAAACAAACAAACAAACAATAATAAGTATTACTACTGTATGTACAAAGAATTCTCTCGCCAGATATATCGTTCTTTTTCTTATGTCACTTTCGTAAAAAACATCTGTACATAAAATACGATATGAAGTATCTAGGTAGATCCTTGATTCAAGTTTTTTAAAGTTTTCTTTTTTTTCTAGTATTTATTTTTAAAAGAATTTATTCATAGAATAAGTATGTATATATTGAATAATTCATTTCACATTTAATAAACATCTTTATTTGTTTTTTTTCTCTGTAAAAAGAACTTAGTCATTAATTGATATAAATTATGCACGATAAAAGTACTGTTTATCTCCACGATCGTTTTCTTCTACGACGTACACCAATACAATTAGATCAACGGTCTCTATGTCCACCGTGGAGACATACGCAAATTCCCGTTGAACTCTTTGATCTAATGACGTATGTATTGCGACATCATTTTTTTTTCTTCAAAATAAATGAATCCATGTTGTTCCTTTATAGTGCTCCACCATCAATGTCTATTCGTCTCTATCGTCTTCATTATGAAATTTTACAATTTTATCAATTCATGATTCCAACAGAAGAAGAGCATGCTGTAAGGCAACAAGTAGTCAATCGTATAAAGAGTGTAATTAATCAATATCTACCAACAGCTTCTGTAAGATACAAAGCAAAAGGAAAGAATTTAAAACGAAAAATAAAGCTTCTGTTTGTATTAGGTTGATGTTTATGGAAGTTATAAAACTGGATTATATTTACCAATGAGGTTTGTTTCAATTGACTTTTCTGTGTCGAACAAGAATTAAACATTGTCTTTTTCTTGTTTTAGTGATATTGATTTAATCGTTCATTCAAAAGATGGACGTCAATGGACACCAGAGGAATTAGAAGCTTTAATGTTAGTTTTACGAGAAGCCTTTTGTCGTCATCGTATTTGTACACAAGAAGGAATACAATTATTAAATGGTGCAACTGTACCAATTATTAAATTAACTGACCGTAAAACTGACGTCAAAGTAGACATGAGTTTTAATATGAACAATGGTCTACGAAGTGCACAACTTGTACTTGTATGTATCAAAAAAAGCATAAGACTTTATTGTGAAAAGAGGCCTTCAATTTTCATAAAATAATGTTTGTCATGTACGATCTAACAATGAGAGTAAAAATTCGTTAATGTATTGTCAGTATTTACAATGATCTTAACGCAAGGTTATTGAGCATTGACAAATAGTTCAAGATTTCAAATAAAACTGTATTCCGTTGATGGAATTTGTTAAAATAAAGTTAGCTTCTTTATCTTGAAAACGATATAATAAGTGGAACAGTGGTTGTTGTTTGTCAAGAACTCTTCAAATAAGTTATTGAATACTGGAAGCAATATTCTTCACATTTTCTAGTTAAAGAATAATTGATTTTTTAATGGCCGTAGCTCACTTATCTAAACATATGCTTTAAAAATAGAATATGAAAAATATATGGCGATGAAAGTCCTTAACCGATTAATTATTTATGAACGAGACCGTGATGCGTTAAGCTTTCTTAAAAATAATACGAGCTCTTAAGTTATTTCATATTTATGAATAATGTTTAACAAAATTATATTTCTATTTCTAGCGTTACATGGAAGACTATCCATATATGAAATATCTTGTATATGTCTTAAAACAGTATCTACTCCAGCTTAATCTCAATGAAGTATGGACTGGTGGTATCAGTAGTTATTCACTTATTCTTATGTTAGTCTGCTTCTTCCAGGTAAATAAAAGCATAAACAAATCGTTGTTCTTTTTTCTATCTGTATTTTACAATAGACTTACTATAAAAAAGATCAGCAATCATTATGGTCACCATTTTTATCTTCATCAATTTTATCTGGTTTATCAACATCTTCAACAGTTACAATAAAAACTACGTCGACATCACCATCATCATCTATTAAAACAAATAGTACAACTGGCACTACAGATGATTGTTCATCATCAACATCTTATCCATCGTCATCTGCTGCTTCGTGCATATCTTCTGATGATAATAATAGTTGTAGTAATAATAATAATAATAGTGATATTGATGATGATCATTTTACTAATATCAATAATGATAATACTCAAACGACAAATAATAAAATTGAACATATTAATCTTGGACATATGCTGATTAGTTTTCTTGAGTTATATGGTGTTTATTTTAATTATGCTAAGTTAGGTATACGTGTACAGACACCACATGAGCCCGATCGTCCAGCTGGTTTTATTGATAAAGAAGAATTATTTAAAAATTTCTGTTGTGGACATCGAACAATAACTAACTTATGTATAGTCGATCCATTCAATGATAGTATGTACATGAAATTCGAATAGAAAAAAAAGGGAATCTTTTACTAAATCAATTGTTATTTTTGTTTTCTTTTGTAGAAAATGATATAAGCAAAGCTTCTTGGTTAACGCCAAAAATGAATTCAGCATTTCGTGAAGCATATGACAAACTATTGCAAAGTGTTTCAGATCAAAATACAACATTAAAGAATGCACCTTCGTATGTTCATTAACTATTTTTTCTTCGTATGTTTTCTTATCAAAATTCTTTTAGTATTCTTTCAAAAATCATCGCTGTCAGCGAAAGTACATTATTATATCGTAAACGAATACGTACAATCTATCGTGATTATCAGAATGAACAACGAACAGTCAAATATATACAATATGGCAGATTGAAGTATGAGCATTGTTTTGTTTTTTGAATATTTTACTTAATTAAAAATATTCTTTTATTATTCAGTTATGCTGTAACAGATAAACAATTGATACAATATTCTAATGAGAATTCACTTAAGTATCCATATCATATATGTTATCAACAACAATTCTTATCATCACATAATTTATTTAATCGACCATCAACACAGCGCAGCAATCAGTCGAAGTAACTTAAGCAAAGGTTTCTTTCTTTTTGCCAAGGTTTCAATAATAGAAAAAAATTAGACTGACATCGTTTATTGAAGAATAATTTGACCTTCTTATCACGCTGTCGTACCTATGCTGTTTTCAAAACTCTATCTGACGATGTATGAATTAAAAGAAAAACGGAAGAAGTTTTGGTCTAAGGAATTTCTGTCAGTTTCAAAAACCCGAGCTCAAACGATGTGCACTCAAATTTTGCATTATTAATATCTTAAATTAAATTTCTGTTTTTTTTTATTTCTACAGAACTAACACTGATGATGAACATCACAATGCTCAAGAGTAAAGCCGTAATGATATAAATAAATGATGATGATGATGCTGATGAAATTCAGTCAAATATTCTTTCTTGTTTCTTTATATTTATTATTTTGTTGTTTTTCTCATCTTACTTTTCGGCTCAGCAACGCATCATTCAATGTCTTTCTTTTGTTTTTGTCTCTTCATGTTCCTCTTTCTTTTTGCGTTGGTTTTTCTTTAAAATCATAAACATCTGAAAAAATATATAAAAAAAGATTTAAAATGCAAAAAAAATATATATAGATATAAAAATTTTGTAAACAAAAATACCAGTAATTTGCTCTTGTGTGTATCTTCTCTTCATCTTTATTTTAGTGCTTTTTTTCAGTGAACCTACAAAGATGAGAGATATCCTATTCCAAAACCCCTGTGTTCAAACTTCATTAGCCTTATTTCTTTTCATTGACATATCCTACACGATATAAATATATTGGTACTAGCGCCTTGTTGTTCCTTTCTTTTTCTTGTGCAAATATTTTTCTTTTTCTTTTTTCATTTTGTCATTCATATGTCTATATTTTTCTTTGTGTGTGCGTGTGTGGATGCATTCATCTTTGTTTGCTTGGTTCTTTTTCATACAATCACAAAATTGTTTTCTTCTCTAGCTCTTGCTCTATGTCGTAAAAAGATATTGTTTGACTTTGTTTTTTTTCTCTTGTGCAAGCTTTATGTATATGTATAAATTTCTCTATCTGCGCGAGACAGCTTGAGGGAAAAATAAGTATCTAATTAGAGTTAGACAGATATAAACATATAGATATATACATACATATGTGTGTGTGCGTGTGTGTGTGTGTGTGTGTGTGGTGACTGCACTTTCGGAATAAAACCGAACTAAACTATTAGGATTATTGTCTTTAACTATGTTGATTGAAAACAATATGAACGAAATATATATTTTTGCTAGGATTTACTTGGAACCAACAATCTCGAAATAAGATTCGATGTCTTTTCTTTTCATTCAGTAAACTTGATGTACAAAAATTGAGTATGATCTTGTGAAGACAAGACTAGATTATTGAAATGTTTAGCATCAATTTTAATTATACAATTATTGATAAAATACAAAACAAAAGAAAGAAAGAAAATACAATGTCCGGCGTTTATTATATTAATAGTTCAAATACAAAATTTTCTTTGTAAGAAGACAAATATCTCTCAGTCCCATATAGTTGCACAGTAGAGTTGTTCAAATGCTTTGAACATAATTCGCATTGTTTGTCCCATTGAATCAACAGCTATGGCACATTGATAAAAGAACAGCTTAACATCATCGTAGTTTTCATCGTCTGATGTGGTTATTATCACTGATGGTGATGATTTTCGTCTAGTTTCATCCATAGTGATCGGCTTACTTATTTCAGTTAATCTTTCCTAATATGAATAATAAAAATTCTTTTTTCTTTTTTGTAGAAAATAAACTTACTGTAATAATTTTGTTAGCATTATATAAAATTATTTCAACTAATTGATCCAGTGTTGCTGGTTTTTCATCTTTTATTTTCTGAATAGTTTTTCCCATTGGTGTTAAGATATTTTCTTGTACCATATTAAATAAATAATCATCTAAATCTTTTGTACTATTCATTATTGTAACAAATTTATGTCCCAAACTTTTCATTTCTTCAAGCATACGATGAACAGTTTGAACATTCAAATTTGGATGAATGCTCTTAATAAACCAATCTGGTAAAGTACCATTATTACGAAGTTCTTCATGTACGAGATTCATACGAGTTATATTAACTATGTTTCTCATTAGATCTTCGAAATTAAATTCAGCTTCAGCAGCATACCATAAACTTCTTCCTAATTTTTCATAATCTATATTACGCATAGCAGCCCGAATAATGGCATCACTCTGAACGTTTTGTCGAATTTTATTCACAGTTTCATTGCTATTAAGTAGTGATATAGCTACTGCAGTAAAATTAACATTTTTGAATGCATTAGTAGCCATTTGTTCAAGTAAAGATGCTTTTATATTGTCAAGCCCCGAATTTTTCTCGACATTATCATCGAAAAGAAAACGTTTCTGACGATGATGTTCAGCTGAACGTTGTGTTGATGATGAAACACGATAGTAACGCATTGCTATTTTCACAACCTCAGGTACAATATTACTGATGCTGGCCGCTGTACGAAGAAGAGAACATGAACTTGGGCTCAGCTCGCCAAGAACGCCCATTTGAAACCAAATAATACAAGAAACTAATGTCAATTGAATATGCATGCTATACAATATGATAACTATAACTATTGCTTGTTGAATGAAGTTTGTACGTATATTTATATACATATCGCTAACGGTTTTTATTGCCAATTATCTCAAGTATTTGCCAATTAACATAGGAATATTTTCATAGAAGTGCCAGTATGTTAAGAAATTCTCAAAACAAATCCATTACCTACACTGAAATATATTTACTTTGCTGTTTGAGGTTGAAACTGCTGAATTTTCAAAGATGAACAGAAGGTAAGAAAAAAACACGATTTATTTTTACAGATGAAACCTCCGATATCATGCCACAAAAAGAAGTATGTCCGTTAATCATTTGCAAATTGAATGTCACTCCGTATAATACTAATTTAGAAAAATTCTAGTAGAACTATGCAGACATATTTTTTATCGATGAAAATTTTTCATTGTGATAGCATAGTTTAACGTTTGAAGAAATGTATTCTGGATTTTTTACAGTTGATTCATATTTCTACTTCAATTACGAGTATACAGTTACAAGAATGAGTGGAATCCATTCAAGCATTCCATATAATTTCTAGTCATTTGAATGGTTTAGGATGATTTTCTCACCTTTGAGCTCAATACATTGCTGATATGTTAGGAAACAATATGGTGATTTTTAGTTACTCACGATTTGATTTTTGATAAATCAAACAAGCTATTGAATACAATAACAATTATATATAGTTTTGAAGTAGAAAACTATAGCAATAAAAGAAAGATAAAATCATAATAATAACAAAAACAAAAACAGTCAATCATTTTTTCAGTTTTCTTTTTCGTATTATTTAAGTTTTGCTGATTGAGGAGAGATCGAAGTAGAAACAATAATTGTGAATTTTTTCTGTAGACTAACTACTACTTAGAGAATACCTGGCTGAAGATAACGTTTCATTATCACAATTTTATTTGGTTATTTGACATGAAACAAATTTGTGGAATTTTCTAAATCCCAATACCATTTTGATCGATAATTGTAAAAGGGTGAAATGGTTTCCAACAATTAGGAATAAGAATTTTAGAAGAAATCAACAATTCTTGAAATTTCTTTTTGCTTTTGAGTAAAGAATAAAATTTGCTCCATAACATTTAATCGAGGCTTAATGAAGTATTATAATTATCAGGAATATTTAAAGAAATGATTTGGTGGTTCATCTTCAATTGATGTAGTAGATGAACCAGACTGTAGTGTAGACATGCTATCTGAACTGAACAAAAATACACATAAACTACAATGAAACGAAATAAATTTCAATATAACATAAATGTTTTTTGCAAATATTAATAGAGAAATACGCATAGTGAGAATTTAAATATCCGTATATACATGAATATATGTGTATGTTGTTTATGTCGTTGTTACATATTGATTCCATTCTGATATATCTTTCATTAAATAAAAAGCGAGAAAAACGTTCATTTAAAATATTTAAAGGTGTCTCTGTTGATCTCAATGTAATGTGAAAAATAATGCGGCAATATTACAAGAATGGGAAACCGTGTAGTCTAGCGGTGCACCGTTCCGATCAAATAAGCTTCAAATAAGAATACATGAATTCAAATGTGCATGCGTGAATATTGAAAAATACATAACAGTCTGTAGCATGTATGAGAATATACTAAACGAATGATTTAGTTTATCTCAGTGATGGCAAGTATAATTGAGTCAAGGATTCGTCTATCGCAATAGCTAAGAAAATGATTCTCAGTCAGAATTCGAACTCAAACTACTCAGATCATGAGTAAAATCTAGTAGACTATTTCCTATAAGTACTGCGACGATACCACACCGAAGCTCTTCGTTTGCGATGCATTACTGAATACTGATCAAATTCATCACATCAAGTGTCATCGACGAACTAGTCTAACTTCGCCGAATAAATTGTTAATCGAAAAATATCGAATCACATATGAACCATTCCAGATATAGAATTTTATGGTAACTAACTAGTTTAATAGCGACTCGATTAATTAACTACATATGACTTGGTAACCATCTGAGTCGCTAGGCATCTGAGCTGGTAGCTCAAGGATTGTGTGTCGTATAATGACGAGGACTTCTTGATTAATGATTATTAATTTCTACATGAACCGATACTTGCTTTGAAAAAAAACAGAATGAACATGAGAAATTATTTCACCGAAGAATGCTTCAGAAAAACCATATCACAAGACAATAAATAAATGACGCTCTTGATTGCTGGAAAAACATGAATATCGAATAGATCAGCGACAAAAATAATTTATTAGACAGAAATCACTATAAATTTTCTTTTAACAAATCATAATAGTCAAAGAAAAAAACGTCATGGACTTTTGTGATTACGCTTGATTTTTAACCAAACTATCTACGCATTCTACGATAGGAAATAAGTTACAAAAAGAAAATTTAAATAAAGAATAGTCTTTTTTTCTTCTTAGTTTAAATACGAGGAAAATTAAGAAATGGAATAAGAATTGGTGTACGGTTTCGATAGGCTTGATAAGCAGGATTACTTGCAAATAATTTCATTGCTTGTCGTTCTAAAATTGGAATTCCACTTAGAAATGATATCAACAATGTTACAAATATAGGCGAAAGTACACCAAAGAATCGTTCATATCCAACCAGCATGTGTGACGATGATATATAAAGACCGAACCATGCACACATTTCACCGAAATAATTTGGATGTCTAGAATATTTCCATAGGCCAGTTTCAATAAATGTGTTCTAAGTAAATATAGAAAAAAATGTTAATTCTAAAATTTGAAATGATTCTAATTTGAATATACTTTGTTATTTAAATTATTTTTAAATGACATTTTTTGTGTATCCGCAATAGTTTCAAATATAAAACCAAATAGCCAAAGACTCCAACCGATATAATCAGTTTTTCTTAATGGTTTATCAACTTGTTTTTGATTAAGATAGAGTGTTGGTAAAAGTGTTATGAGAACCCAAATACCTATGGCATAGACATTATTTTTATATTGGTTAATATATAGTTTGAGTTTTCTAACCTTGAAGCATCCAAGTTATGAGTAATCTCGTTGGATTATTGCGCATGCGATCAAATCGTGAATCTTTGCCAACTTTTAATATTCGATAAAATAGAAATGCACCTAATCTAAATATTAGCAAATGTAATACATGAAAAAGTGTACTTCAATACTGTAATGAATATTGATGCAGATGTGCATCAATCTCGTGGAGTCGACTCTCAGTAAACAAGAACCACACATCCCAATAAACGATTTACAGAAAGAATATCCTAATAAGTATTAACTCTTTTTTGTTCCCATTTAAGCAAACAATGTATGATTATTAATTACAAGCTATTTTATCAAATAACATTTTTTGATCTCACCTCAATGCCCAAAAGAATACACAAGAAGATTGAATATTTTGTCGAAGAGTTGAACGACGTTTATTACGACTTAAGTAGGTCAATAAAATAAATGTTAAAGAACCTGAATACATACACCTACACATTTAATAAATCGTTTCAGCATCATATTTCTTACCTGTCAAATCAAAATGCCTTTCGGTTCGAAACTTGACCGACAACGCCCAGCCTAAAAACTGAATAGCAAAGTCAATGCCAATGAACTTTCCCAATTGTAAACCCATCTGAAATGTATAACTATTATTATGCAAACCATTTATATTGACATGATAAAATGTTACCTACTAACTGTTAGTATAAAAACGACGATATGACAAGTAACTCACCGCTTTTTTTTCTATGTGTGCCATACTTGTATTTTGCAAGATAATAGATATAACACAGTAATTTTTTTCTCATACTGTCTGTGAGTGTTAGAACATATATTTTTCACACGATCGAAGGTGTGCATTGCTGGCGAGATGAAAGATAAATTCCCACTACTTGAGACCTATGTTAGGAGAGAAATTCGCTTGCACGACATATTGACTACCTAGTGTAACAGCGTTTTTATTAGAGTATTTCCGTGAGATTTGGCAGTTACTTATTTATTGTGCATCAAATTAATCATATATCATTTAGTTTGAGTACCCTATTCAACTAATTATTATTGAGATTGCTCAAATGAAAACAATAACTATAGCATAATACAGGCATTGGATCAAAGCTTGAGTGACTCAGCTTATAGATATGGTACAAATATGCCACCCATGGATGATAGCATATATATAGCAAGTTCATTGAATAAATCTGTAATGTGTTTTTCTCCTATATTTCTTCGTAATCTTCATTGTCACTTATAATTTTGCTCGCTAGAAACTGAACGAGATCAGTCATTCTGTAATAGTCAATTGATGAGGTTAAAATATGTGTCATTATTATGCTAACAACTTCGTCTAGAAAGAAAAATGACTAAATAAATGGTGTTTTGATTATTTTATTGAAAATCTATTTCGTTACTTGATGGTCAAAAGTCAACCGTTAAGAAAAAAAAAACATTATTTTATCTGTTTATTTCGTATTCGATAGATAACGTTATAGGTAGATTAACAGGCACAGCAACGTACTCGAACCAATCAAAAAGTAGCGCTATCAACTTGTTGCATGATTCCATTTGAGTTCAAAATCTCTGTGAGCCCTCTTTTTGACAACCAGATCTTTCTTCAAGTTTCTTTCTTATTCTAACGGACGATTACGAAAACTCTGAAACCTATATTTCTGATTTTGTTGAGCTTTTCATTTATGTCTCTTTTTATCAACTCTTGAGACGAATCGCTAAAAATATCAGTGATTGGATAGGCTTCATTCTTTTTTTTGGAACCGATTTCAAAAGCTCTCGAAGCCACAGTACCCTACATCTGACAGGCACCATTTTTGTGCATGCTCTTTTAAAGAGGAATATATGATTTCCTTTTTATTTTATTGTAAAAAATTGTTTTGATTTGGATGGAGGCCCTGTTTGTTCTCGATTATCACAACTACATTCAAAACGGAAAAGAAAAGAAAAATATCCTGATGTCACGATGGCAACTGGGGCTTTTCATATGCATCGTAACACTAGATTGATGATATCCTGTAGCGTGTTTTTCTCCTCGTTTTTCTTCTTCTTCTGATAGAAAACTTTCTGATACAGTGAAGTCAAGATACTTTGTTCTCAATCTAATCTAATCGCCAACTTCCTCTTTTTCTTCTGAGATATTAAAGTTAATTTTTTATTACAAAAATGATCACTCACACGATAAACGCTATTCGAATAATAGAGAGTCACGTAGAATTTCATGTAATATCAGGTGATATAGTGAAAATTCAATATGATAACCGACTGTTCTACACAAGTTTCGGTAAAATGGTTTAACAAAGTTAAAGAACAATCAAAAGATTTAGAATGAAGCTTGGATTTTTCTAAAGCAATGATTCTGACGCAAAATCTCTCTTTTTTTCTAATCTTCTAGGTACGTCTTACTTCTCGTCAGATTGTTAAGATTTTCGACAGGGACTGATGAAAACTTGCAAGGATCGTTATGTTATTTCATCCGGTTACAACACTCAAGTTGCAAGTATTGAAAATGTAGACCCCATTTTTGATAAATATGTTGATAAAACTATAATTGATGTGTTAAAGCTCGGCGGTTATAATCCATTGTCTTGAATACTACTGGAACCGGGCGATACAACAGGTTTTTTTTATACAAAGTGGAACAGTTGAAATACAACTGCGTACAATGTATACAGTAAACCATTTGAAAAGTTTAAAAATTCAGGATATCGCCAACGCTGTGAAAACTATTAAATCTTATAATTATATAAAAGCAACTTTTCTGTTTTCGCATAAAATTCGATGTTTAACGAAAACAAAAAACCAATTCGTTTGTTAGCTCTAATCCACGATTTTTTTCTGTTTTTCGATCTTTTACTCTGTCTTTCATTTTCACTGTACTGATATTTATCGCTTTCTTTGATGCTTTTTCTTGCTGCCTTCTCTCTCGATTGTTTTTTTTTAAACAAGATACACGTACAACGCGACTCAATGAAGGACTTCTGATAATTCTCTCGACCGAGACTGAAGGGTGTGTCAAATAAATTGAATGCTTATCAAAATGTATTTTTTCTAAAACTTCATCAATCAATCAACTGATTAATTCCTAAAAATTTAAATCTCAACACATCATCCGAAGTAGCAAATTATTAATTAGTCGATAGATGCATATAGTATAATAGAGCGTTATATTTATTGAGATTTTTTTTTAAATTGCCTATTGTCAACAATGCTTCCAAAAACAAAAAAAGGTCTTAATAGCTCTGTTCTGAAATCATGACGAAGCTTTTTCCTTTACGCTTCATAAGTGAAAGCTTGTAACTAAATAATAAGTAAGAATTACACATCACACACTCGATAAAAGATAAGATCACGCAATAATACAATTTACTCGATAATACTTAGTCCAACACTTCCCTAGCCTGTTATATAAATTCAAAAGGGGTAAATCTTAAATAGAGCATATATAATACTTCATTAAGCATCCGTCTGTCTTTAGACGTTAATGAATATAAAAAGCATTTAGTCACATTATTTCTTCTTCAATAGTTAAGATGAATCAGTAGTTTCAAATAAAAATAAATGTGGGAACTTCGGATTTCATCCGAGAGTTATGTGTACTGCCAAAAGTGCATGGGACATATGAGTCATTCTAGAATGTCTGAACACGAAAATTATCATGAGAAACTAGGCAATTTCATTTCTGGTTGCACTTTTTGTGCATTTT